CGTTTAAGTCCCTTTACCCTCACCTGTTACTAATGTCTTAAATATTTCCTCTGTGTACATGAAGATCCACATCATAAAAATGTTATACTTTTTGCTTTGACCTTCAAATGTAATTTAGAAAACCCAACAGGAAAAGGAAAGTCTATTGTATTTATTCATATTTTTTCTTTTTCCATTTTTCTTCTTTCCTGATGTTGCAGGACTTCTTTTATCATCTCCTTCCTGTTTAAAAAGCTTCCTTTAAGGGTACATCTGCTGCCAACAGATTTTCTTAGTTCTCCTTCATCTGAGAATATCTTGATTTCTCCCTTTGTGTCTTTTTTCTTAGTAACAGCTTTATTCAGATATAATTCACCTACCATATAATTTATTCATTTAAAGTGTCCAATTCAGTGTTTTTTGTATGTTTATGGATATGTGCAACCATCACTGAAATCAATTTTAGAACATTTTCATCACCTCAAATAGAAACCTCATACCCTTCAGCCATCACTCTCCTCCACCTCACCTCCCTGCCTCCTCCAACAGTAAGCAATCATTAATATGCTTTCTGTCTCTATAGACTTCACTATTCTGGACATTTCACATTAATTGAATCATGTAACATGTGATCTTTGTGTCTGACATCTTTCACTCAGCATAATGTTTTCAAGGAACTCCCTCTGGCCAAGTCTGGGACAATTTGAATAGCAAAATAAATCATGATAATAATAGGTTATAACCCACCGAATAAACTAGAAAGTCACCAGTCCATATGATAGCTCAGTAGGTATATATGTAAGTAGGCAAAGAGGGAAGAAGTGTAGCATGGACATGTTGTAACATGTATCAGTATTTCATTCCTTTTCATGGCTGAATAGTATTCCATTGTTCAAGTGTACCACGTTTTGTTTATTCATTTATCAGCCAATGTACATTTGGATTGTTTCCACCCTTTGGCTGTTATAAGTAATACTGCCTATAAACATTTGTGTACATGTTTCTTTTTCTCATTTATTTTTATTAGTTGGAGGCTAATTACAATATTGTAGTGGTTTTTGCCATGTACATGTTTTTATGTGGACATATATTTTCATTTATCTCAAGTATACATACACCTAGGAGTAGAATTTCTGTTTAATCATTTGAGGAACTGCCAGACTGTTTTCTAAAGCAGCCACACTAGTTTACATTCCCACCAGCAGTATGTGAAGTTTTCAATTTCTCCACATCCTCACCAGCACTTGTTATTATCTGAGTTTTTGGATCTAGCCATCCTAATGAGTATGAGGTAGTATCTCATTGTAGTTTTGATTTGCATTTCCTTGATAATTAATGATGCTAAGCATCTTTTCATATATTTATTTGCCATGATATTTCATTTCTTAAGGATAATTTTGCCAGGTATGAAACTCAGAGTGGACAGTTCTTTCAGCACTTGAAAAATGTTGTGCCGCTTCTCTCTACCAAGGTTTCAGATGCTGTCAATGTATTTTTCCCCTATAGGTAAGGTATCATTTCTCTCTTGCTGACTTCAAGATTTTTTCTTTGTCTTTAGTTTTCTGAAGTTTGACTATAATGTGTCTTGGTATAATTTCTTTAGCTTATCATTTTGGGGTTTGCTCAGCATCCTGAAACTTTGTTTATATCTTTTACAAAATTTGAGAAATTTTCAGCTATAATTTTTTCAAATACTTTTCAGCCCCATACTTTCTCCTCTCCCCTGGGACTCTGATGACATGAATGCCAGATCTTTATTATAGTCTCAGATTTCCCTGAGGCCCTGCTCATTTTTTCCCATCAATTTTCTTTCTGTTCTTCAGATTGGATCATTTCTATTCTTTTATCAAGTTCTCTAATTCTTTCCTCTGTCCTCTCTATTCTGCTGTTGAGCTCATCCATTGAGTATTAAAATTTTAGTTATATTTTTCAGTTCTGAAATTTTCATTCTGTTCTTCTTTATATCCTTTTTTATTATGAGACTATTTTTCCATTTAAATACATTGAAGCATTTTTATGGTGGCTACTTTACAATTGTTGATAATTCTAACATCCGTGTTATCTCAGTCTTTTCTCATTCCAGTTGAGATTTTCTTGCTTCTTCACATGATGCCTGATTTTCAGTTATGTCCTGGATATTTTGGGATCACTGAGATTCTGGATACTATTTAAATCCTGTTTTTTAGCCAGCTCCCTCCAATACTGTTCTACCAAAAAAAAGGAGAATCTCCTTTTTACTGCCAGGTGGAGATGGAAGTTCAGGTCCCTACTTGGCCTCCTTTGACACCCCAGAGGGGACAAGCATCTTGCTGCTGCTGGGTGGATGTGGAATTTCATGCTCCGCACCAGACTATCTCTGACACCACCCTGTTGGGGAGACAAAAAAGGCACCTCATTACCGGGTTGGGGATAGAAGTTCAGGACCCCCCCCACATTTACAGTGGCCTAAATTTACACTTTCAGGGAGGGGCCTCATTTTCCCAGGCAGGGATGAAAACCAGGACTCCCCGTTCAGCCTTTACTAATGGGAATGTGGATGGGGCAGTAATTATCTAAATTTTTCTCCCTTGTTACATTGCCCCTTTACTGGTACTTTAGCTAGAGAGAGCAGACTTTCTTGGTGCTGTTTTTTATCTGCACCATTTGGCATTCTGGATTGCCAAATTCTCCATCACTGAGTCCAAGATACATGGAACAAAAAGAAAACTCAGGGAAATCACCACTGTATCACTCCTCAGGTTCCAAGGTCCCTAACCAGGTAACATCCTTCTTTCCAAGTGACAGTCTTCCTTGTTTAATATGTAATGTCCAGAGATCATAGCTGTACTTAGTACCAGACATTGGGAGAATTCTGTCTATTCCATTTTGGACCCATTGGTAAATTTTAACTTAATTTTTAAATAAGTAATACATTCATATGGTTCTCTCCCCCAGTCCTACAGATCTCCCTATCTAAAAAACCAGTCTTGATTGGTTGGTGGGTGTGTGGTATATGCTTAGAGATTACACAGATAAAAGCAACTAAGAAAATATCCTTGATATTTTCCCACAAAGTAGATACTGTTATGTTACTGTTAAAACTTTTTATCATGAAATATTACATACATTTTGAATAATACTGCTATAAATACTCTTGGACATGCCTCTTGTTGCACATGAGCACATATTCCAGTTGGGCATATTTCCATGGATGGAATCACTGTGTCCTTGGGTATGCATGCTTCAACATTACCAGGTGAAGCCAAAATGCTTTCCAATGTGGTCGTACCAATTTATGCCTCCATAAGACTTATGAGAGTTCTCATTGCACAGTGTTTTCTTCAACACTTCATATTTCCAGTCTTTAAAAAATATTTATTGAGGTGTAGTTGATTTGTAATAAATGTTTCAGGCGTACAACATAATGATTCAGTTTCTAAAGATTATACTCCATTTATAGTTATTATAAAATATTGACTGTATTCTCTGTGCTGTGCAATATATCCTTGTTGCTTATTTATTTTATACATAGTAGTTTGTACCTCTTAATCCCCGCCCGTTACTTTGCCCCTCCTCACTTCCCTCTCCCCACCAGTAAACACTAGTTTATTCTCTATGTTTGAAGTCTGTTTCTGTTTTGTTATATTCACTTGTTTGTTTTATTTTTTAGATTCCGCATATAAGTGATATCATACAGTCTTTGGCTTTCTCTGTCTGACTTACTTCACTTATCCTAATACCCTCCAAGTCCATTCATGTTGTTGCAAATGGCAGAATTCCATTCTTTTTTATGGCTGGGTAGTATTCCATATTGTGTGTGTGTGTGTGTGTGTGTGTGTGTGTGTGTGTATTACTACATTTTCTTTATCCATTCCTCTGCAGATGGACACTTGGGTTGCCTCTATGCCTTGGATATTCTAAATAGTGCTGCTATGAACATTGGAGCACACATATTTTTTCAAATTAGTGTTTTCATTTTCTTTGGATATATACCCAGGAGTGGAACTGCTGAATCATTTAGTAGTTCTGTTTTTAGTTTTTTCAGGAATTCTTTTCCACAGTGGCTCTACCAATTAACCTTCTCAACAGCTGTATATAAGGGAACTTTTTCTCCACATCCTTGATATTGCCAGTCTTCTTCATTGAAGACATTGTAGAAGTTGTGTAATGGTAACTCATTACTTGAATGTACATTCTCTGGTTACTAAAGAGGTTGAACTCTTTTTGTGTTTATTAATACCTTACATTTCCTCTTTCATAAAATGCTTGTTCAAATCTTTTGCCCACTTTTCTACTAGGTGGCCTCTTTTTTTAAAATTGGTTTCTAAGAGTTCTTTACATTTCTTTAGATAGGAGCCCTTTGTCAGTAATATTTATTGGAGATATCTTCTATTTGGTGGATTTTCTTTTTTTTCTCTTATAATATGGTCTTTTAAAAAATAGAAATTTTAAACTTTATTGTAGACAGATATCAATCTTTTCTTTATGGTTAGTGTTTTTTGCATCCTGTTTGAGAATTATTTTCACAATCCAAGATCATGAAGATATTCATCTATACTATGTTTTCTTCCTGTTACCTATTAAAGGTTTTACTCTTTTGCTTTTCCCCTCAATACATTTCTTTGAAATGCCTTTTAGACCCCTTTGTATCTTCTTATGTTGGTTGTCCAAGTTTTTTTTTCAAGTTGTTTTTTATTTTAGTCAATTCTATATTGCCATTGGCTGGCACATAATCAACCAATAAATGTATTTCATATATAGTTTCTACATTAACTTGAGGACTTAAAGGGAGCCTATTTTAATCCTTATTTTTTAAAAAACAGGGACTGAATGAATAAGTGAATGAATGTAATACATAGTGAATGTCAAGATACTTTAATGTGTTTTTCTCTCACAAAATAAAATGCAAAACTGGGTGCTGAGTGAAAACCCTACATGATACATTATGATAAAAATCATTAGAAACAACTAACTTCCTAGTCCTCTTCCCTCCATCGCCCAGTGCTCACCATGTCATCTTGAATGGGACTGTATTTTTACAGGTGTCATTCGAGGATGTCACCGTGGACTTCAGCCAGGAGGAGTGGCAGCACTTGGACCCTGTTCAGCGGTGCCTGTACCGGGATGTGACACTGGAGACCTACAGCCACCTGTGTGCAGTGGGTAAGCACAGCTGCCCTCTGCACTTTCCGGGGGCCTCAGAGAGGCTGCCTCCATTCTCTGCTGCTGAAAGCTCTGGGGCATCTAAAGTGTGTAACAGTGTCATCTTTGATTTGCCTGAGATCCTTCAGTCCTTTTACACTTCTGTGATTATTACTGTATTCCCAGGGAATGGGATTACTTTCCTGAAGAACAAATAGAAGCATGGTTGAAAGGCCTAGAAACCCAATTAACTGGACCCAATCCTGTATCGTGTCCTGTTCACAGGTTACCAAGTTCCCAAACCAGAAGTCATCTTCAGACTGGAGCAAGGAGAGGAGTCATGGACATTGGAGAAAGAAACTCCACATCACAGCTGCTCAGGTGAGTAAGTGTGACCTGAGAAAATGGGGGATGTAGAGTAGATCTGTTTTTCTAGGAGAGGCTGGTACCTTTGAAAGGTTCTGAAGATAACCTGTCTTGAAGGCTCTAAACTTTTGCAGTCACTTGGAGAGAGTTAACAGAAGCCCCTTTAATGCCCGAGGGCCAACTCCCAAGTATGACCCTCACCAATATCCACTGTCTTCTTTGCTTTTTGATAAAAGAGCTGTCTCTAACCTCTGTACCCTCTGTACCAGCACATATATAGCACCATATCTGACTGGAGTGGGTTGCTATTTCCTTCTCTGGGGGATCTTCCCGACCCAGGGATTGAACCCGTGTCTCTTATGTCTCCTGCATTGCAGGTGGATTCTTTATCACTAGTGCTACCTGGGAAACTATCTTACCTGGGAACTTTTATTCTTCCTACTCCACTCCCACCCTCTTATCTTAGGTTCTTTCCTTGTACATTCAGGTATTTTGATTTTTCTTCCCTTTTATTCTAATTCCTCATATCCATCCCTTATGCCTCCTCCCACTGGTAACAGATCTAATGTATTTGATCTTTGAATTTGTGTGGTATTCTCTTAAAGCCTAAAGTATGAGGTTACTTGTGGTTGTTGCTCAGCCGCTAAGTCGTGTCTAACTTTTTGTGACCCCATAGACTGCAGCATGCCAGGCTCTCCTGTCCTTTACTATCTCCTGGAGTTTGCTCAGATTCATGTCCATTGAGTTGGTGATGCTATCTAACCATCTCATCCTCTGCCACCCTTTTTTCCTTTTGCCTTCAATCTTTTCCAGCACCTGGGTCTTTTACAGTAGAATACTATGCTGCATAGTATCCCACAGTGTGCCAGGACCACATCTTATTGAACCATTCATCCAATGATGGAACCTAAGTTTTCATTAATGCCCATCTAAGACAAACAATTCTGCAATAAATTTCTACACAAATGTTCCTTTATAGAGTGTGAGATTTTCTCAGGGATGTATATAGAAAAGAGGGTTTGCCTGATCATTGTATATTCTTATCCTGAATTTGACCAAGCACCACTGTATTCTTCTTGAATTGGCTACTCTAATCTATACTCCCAGAGTAGGGCACAGGATTCTTGCTTTCCTCGAGTTTCTGCCAACAATTAATAGCACCAAAGTTTCTCATTTTTTGGCCAACAATGGGTATAAAGTGGAATCTCATTTTTTATTTCTCATTTCTCCAGTACTTAGTTTGAGCATTTCATCATTGACCTGTTGTGGTCTCTTGAGTTTCGCTCCTTTGAGCGACCTTGCTAATCTTCCCCTTGTTTTGATTAAATTTACTCAGGTTCATACTGATTTGCACCCAGTTTTTTTATTTTCCCGCTTTTCCAGGCATCTCCTCGTTATCCTTATAAATGAGATTGCCCTATGGAGACTGTCTACTGTTTACCAGTCTTATATATATGCAAGGATTCATCCGTCCTGAAATTCTGATGACTCTGCTTTTGACATCTCAAGTCTGTTTTTCCCTAGTACTTTTTAGTACTATATTCAGCTACTCAGAAAGTTCCCTTGAGATGTTTCTCTTACTACTCAATATATCAGAAATTGAAATCATTACCTCATATATCAAAAGCCATTCTCACCTTCCAACTTTTGTCATATTCTGTCAGTGTTTCTTAAATCTTTCAGTCATTTTAAATTAATCACTCTACAGTTCCTACTGCTTTTTCATTTTTGCAAATATCATTTTTAGTTCTCAATTCATCTTCTTAGTCCCCATCTTCTTTGTTCTGAAAGGTTGTTGCTGAGCTGTTAAAGGTGCCAGGATTCTTGACCTCCGGAGGAGAGGAATTCAATCCAGGGCCAGTGTGATCACTCAGAGCTTTTGTGTGATAAAGTTTAATTAAAGTATAAAAGAGATAGAGAAAGCTTCTAGTCTTTAGCCGGAAGTTATATAGCTACTAGCAAAGAGTTGGACACGACTGAGAGACTGAACTGAACTAAGCAAGCTGCTAATTAGAGAAAGGAAATGTCTCAAAACTCAGACACTGGCACCAGGCCCCTCACCCACAACATGCATTTTGAGATAATATTGGCACAATGTGAGTTGTCCCAGGCCATAAAACAATTGACATGAATCTTGAAGAAAGGGAGGTTTCCAAGCAAAGACATAGTCTCATTAACATAGCTTAAGAGAACATTTGCATGAGTAAAACATACTGGTTTGTCAAGTCGTTTCTGAGGCTTAGGCAGAACTAACTTGAAGAAAGACAGAGTCTAGGGTAAATACATTCATTAACATAGCTTAAGAAAAACATTTCCATAAGCTCAACATTTGAGAAAAGTTAAATTCACGTTGAACCAGGTGTTATCATGGCAGCACAGAATTTTAAAAGAAACCCCCTTTTAAATTTGTATAGAAAAGGGAAAAAACCTGACACTTGTAGTTTGTTTCCTCCTGCAGCTTAAGACAGAGATAAAAAATGTCTGACACTTGCAGCCTATTTCCTCCATTTGGAGACCCCTAGCCTTCCTGCCTGTTACCCTCTCAGTTCCGTCCAAAACCAGCTCCATATTTTCTTATGCCTGGATTATAATTTTTCTATTACTGAGTATAGTTGCTGATTCCATTCTTTTTATTAGTTCACTTCAAATGCTAATGACAGATTTCATTGCCTAAAATCTTTTTATTTATTTTGACATTAGCTTTATGGAAAAAAATCCTAATATTATTCAATATTATTCAGTTATTATTATAACTGTTCATTCAAAAAGACAAACAACATGGCCATGTATTTACAATTCAAATGTGTGTCTGTATGTTTTGTATAACCTTTGTGCAATTCCACTTTTAACATATCTTATGATTCTATGAGGTTTATTTTTATTAATAATTCTATGAGTTTTGGGGAATTCCCTGACAGTTCAGTGGCTAGGACCCAGTGCTTTCACTGCTGAAGGCCTGAGTTCAATTCCTGGTCAGGGAATAAAAATCCCACAGGCCTCAGAGTGTGGACAAAATAAAATAATAATTCTATAAGTTTTGACAAATGCATACAGTCATGTAACCACCACGATAATCAAGATATAGAACAAAAATTACCTCAGGTCCTTTATTGTGTCACTCCTTCCCACTGCTTACAGACCTGGAAAATACTGATCTCTTTTCTGTCTCTGTAGTTTTGTCTTTTTCAGAATGTCATATAAATGGAATCATACAGTATGAAGCCTTTTGAGTCTGGCTTCTTTTACTTAGCATAATGCATTCAAACTTACTCCTACTGTTGTGTTTTCCATAGCTTGATTCCTTTTTATTGCTGAGTAGTATTCCATAGCATGGATGTACCACAGTTCATCCATTCACCAACTGAAGGATATTTGTCAGTTTGACTAATATGTGTCTTGGTGTGTTCCTCCTTAGGTTTATCCTGCTTGGGATTCTCCGTGCTTCCTGGACTTGGTTGACTATTTCCTTTCCCATGTTAGGGAAGTTTTTGGTTATTATCTCTTCAAATATTTTCGTGGGTTCTTTCTCTCTCTCCTCTTTCTGGGACTCTGTATTGTGAATGTTGGTGTGTTTAATGTTGTCCCAGAGGTCTCTTAGGCTGTCTTCATTTCTTTTCATTCTTTTTCTGTATTCTTTTTCTATATTTCTGTATTTGTGGCTGTGATTTCCACCATTCTGTCTCCCAGGTCACTTATCCATTCTTCTGTCTCTGTTATTCTATATTGATTCCTTCTAATATATTGTTCATCTCTGTTTGTTCTTTAGTTCTTCTAGGTCTTTGGTAAACATTTCTTGCATCTTCTCCATTCTTTTTCCAAAATCCTGGATGATCCTGGGTCATCTTTACTATCATTATTCTGAGTTCGTTTTCTGGAAGGTTGCCTATCTCCATTTTGTTTAGTTGTTTTTCTGGGGTTTTATCTTATTCCTTCATCTGGGAGGTAATCCTCTGCCTTTTCATTTTTTGATTAACTTTCTGTGATTGTGGTTTTCATTCTGGAGGCTTCAGTACTGTAGTTCTGTTTCTTCTGTCTGCCTTCCAGTGGATGAGGCTAAGAGGCTTGTGCAAGCTTCCTGATGGGAAGGACTGGTGGTGGGAAAAACTGGGTCTTGCTCTGGTGGGCAGGCTGTGCTCAGTAAAACTTTAATCTGATTGCCTGCTGATGGGTAAGGGCTGTGCTCCCCTCCTGGTAGTTGTTTAGGCTGTGGTGACCCAGCCCTAGAGTCTACAGGCTCTATGGTAGGACGAATGCCAAACTCCCAAGAGGGTTCACACCAAGGGGCAACTCCCAGGACTGCTACTTCCAGTGCCCCCATCCCCATAGAAAGCCACTGCTGACCCACACCTGCAGAGGAGATCCCACAACACTAGCAGGTATGTCTGGTTCAGTCTCCTGTGGGGTCACTGCTCCTTTCCCCTGAGTCCTGCTGTGTACAGGATTTTGTGTGTGCCTTCCAAGAGTGGAGTATGTTTCCCCTAGTCCTGTGGAAGTCCTGCAGTCAAATCCCACTGCCCTTCAATGTGAGATTCCCTGAGGATTCCTAGTCCCTTTGCCAGATCCCCAGGCTGGAAAGCCTGACATGGGGCTCAGAACCTTCACAACAGTGGGAGAGCTTCTTTGGTATTATCGTTCTCCAGTTTGTGGGTTGCCCACCTGGTGGGTATAAGATTTTATTTTTATCATGATTGTAATCCCCCTACTATCTTGTGGCTTCTTTGTTTTTGGACATGGAGTATCTTTTTTGGTGGGTTTCAGTGTCCTCCTGTCAATGATGGTTTAACATCTAGTTGTGATTTCAGTGCTCTCACAGGAGGAGATGAGCATACACCCTTCTACTCTGCCATCTTCAATAATCTGAAGGATATTTGGATAGCTTCCAGTTTGGGTGATAATGAATAAAGATGCTATAAATATGTTTACATATTTTATGTGATGATGAGATTTCATTCACATGGGTAAATATCTGTGAGTCAGACTGCTGGGTTGTATAATAAGGATATGTTAACTTTATTAAAAACTGCCAAATTGTTTTCCAAAGTGACTATACGATTTTAAATTCTAACCAGCTATGTATGAGAGTTCCAGTTGATCTACATTCTCACCAGCACTTGGAATTGTCCATTTAAAAAATTTTAGCCATTCTAACAGTAAGATAGTTGTATCTTACTGAGGTTTTAATTAGTATTTCCATAATATCTAATATTTGACATCTATATATCTTCTTTGGTGAAGTGTTTTTATAAATCTTTTGCCTAGTTTCTATAGGAAACATTGTTTTCTTATTGTTGAGTTTTAAAGTTCATTATATATTCAGGACACAAGTTATTTATCAGATATGTGTTTTGCAAATTTTTTCTTTTTATCTTCTTATCAATATCTTTCATGGGGCATTTAAAATTTTAACAAAAGTCTAATTTATCTTTTTTCTTGTTTTATGGATTGTGCTTTTGGTATTGCATCTAAGAAATCTTCACCTAATCCAAGGTCACAGAAAAATTAGGTTTTACATTTAGTTCTGTGATGTGCATTAATTTTTGTATGTGATTTAAAGTGTGGATCAAAGTTTTGTGTTTGTTTTTTGTTTTTGCACATAGCTATTCAATCATTTCAGCATCATTTATTTAAAAACCATCCTTTCAACTGAAATGCCTTTGCACTTTTATTGATAATCAGTTGTCATATGTGTGTGGGTCTCTTACTAGACTCTTCCTTCTGTTCCACTGAAGTATTCATCTGTCTTTACACCATTCCCACACAGTCTTGATTACTGTAGCTAAGTAATAAATTTTAAATCATGTAGTATTAGTCCTCCAAGTTTGTTCTTTTTCAAATTCTTTTGGCTACTGTAAGTTCTTTGTGTATCCATTTGAATTTTATAGTCATTTTTTGTTGCTATGAAAGTGAGTTTTGATTGTGATTAAATTTAATCAGTTTGGAGGGAATTAACATCTTAATATTATCAACTCTTTCAGTTCAGATATATAAATGATTTGATACATTTATATATTGCAAACTGATTACCACCATAAGGTTAGCTACCACTTCCATCTTATCACAGTTACTATTTCTTTTTTGTGGTAAAAACATTTACGATCTACTCTCTAGGCAACATTCAAGTATATTATACAATATCATTATCTATAGTCCCCGTGCTGCATAATAGGTTCCCAGAACTTGTTCATCTCGTAATTGGAAGTTGGTGCTCTTTGACCAATATCTCCCCGTTCTCTCCACCCTCCAGTCCTCAGGAACCACTACTCTACTCTGTTTCTCTGAGTCTGGCTTTTATAGATTTCATATACAAGTGATAATACCATGCAATATTTGTCTTTCTCTGACTTATTTCAGTTAGCATGATGTCCTCAATGTTCAGCCAAGTTGTAGCAAATGGTACAATGTCCTTCTTTTTCATATATGATATTAGTAATATTTCATTGTATATGTACACCACATCTTTATCCATTCAGTGTTGACAGACACTTGAGTTGTTTTCATATCTTGCTGTTGTGAATAGTGCTCTAGTGAACATGGGAGAGCAGATATCTCTAAGAGATCCTGATTTCAATTCCTTTGAATATATGCCCAGAAGTGGAATCGTGGGTCTACTTTGAATTTTTTGAGGAACCTCCATCCTGTTTTTCACAGTGGCTTCACCAATTTACACTCCCACCAGCAGTGCACAAGGGTCCCCTTTTCTCCACCTCTTTGCCAACACTTGCTATTGCTTGTCTTTTTGATAATGACCATTGTAATAGATGTGAAGTGATATCCATTGCAGTTTTGACTTTCATTTCCCTGAGGATTACTGATATTGAGCACCTTTTCATGTAGCTATTGGTCATTTGCACAGATTCTTTGGAAAAATGTCTATTCAGTTTCTCTGCCCATTTTAATTGGTTTGTTTGGTTTTTTTTTGTTTTTGCTTTTTTGCTATTGAGCTGTGTGTGTTCGTTATATATTTTGCTTATTAACTCCTTATCAGATATATGATTTGTAAATATCTTTTGCCATTCCAGAGGTTGCCTGTTCATTTTGTTAATTGTTTCTTTTGCTGTACATTTTTAATGTCTTCTTGATGTCTGCCATATTTGATAGTGTTTCCCTAATCTGATCCTACTCTGTGCTCTCTTTATCCAGATGATACATTTTCACCTTGTGATCAGATTTCACTATTTCATGAAATTGCTCTTAAGTACTCCAGAATGTATGGCTTTTTCTTTTTTCTCATCCTCCATCCCACAGGAACTCAGGGAAAACATAGGATTTTAGGCTGTGTGGTAACTGAGGCTTTTGTGTGAAGTGTTAGTTGCTCAGTCATGTCTGACTCTTTGCAGACCCATGAACTGTAGCCTGCCAATCTCCTCTGTCTATGGAGTTCTCTAGGTAAGAATACTGGAGTGGGTAGCCATTCCCTTCTCCAGGGGATCTTCCCAACTCAAGGATCAAACCTGGGTCTCCTGCATTACAGGTGGATTCTTTACATCTGAGCCACCATGTAGGCCCCCAACTAAGGCTTTTACTTGTATGTTTTTAGAAAGCTCCCAGAATTAAGAGCCTACTTCTCAGATTCATAGACATAGAGAACATATTTGTGGTTGCCAGGTGGAGGAGGGGTGGACTGGAAGTTTGGGATTAGCAGATCAAACTATTATGTATAGGATGGAAAAATAGCAAGGTCCTACTGTATAGCACTTGGAACTATATTCAATAGCCTATGATAAACCATAATGAAAAAAGAATTTTTTAAAAAATCCATTCTTACACTGAAGAAAGAAAGCCAGTTTCTTATTGCATAACTTAGGGCCTAATCAGGGCAAGAAACCACATACTAACTTCAACAGGAAAAGTTTAGCATTAATTATTGGCTATTGTGGGACTGAAGTAATAAGGGATTAGCCAGTAAGAGTAAAGAGAACTCTAATGAATAAAGAAATAGCAGATTAGTGTGTGAGAGTACCTCAAGGGCTATGAAGGAACACCCAAAGAAGAGCCTCCTCTGCTTCCCACAGATGAATACAGACCTTATAGGGAGGGCATATCCATGGCTCATGGCATGGCAGAAGAGTTGCTATTGTGCTCCACTGGTGGAACTTGCTGGAAATCTGTCCTCTTTGGTTCCAGAAAAAGCTGATCATGGGGCAGTGTCTCATTGGAAACATTCCACTACAAATTATCTGAGAGGAGTGCCAGAAGTGCTGGGTGCTTCTGGCTGCAAAGAATTGCAGAAGCTGGGTTCTTGGGAAGCCATAGGAGCAGCAGGAGTTGGGTGCTAAAGAAATCACCTGCACTTCAAGACCTAGGTGCCTGGGAAACTGCATGTGCATCAGGAGCCAGATGCTGCTGAAGCCACCACACTTCTGGAGCCTGGTGCTAAACAAGCTGCCCTTGCTGGAGGAGCCTGCTGAGTGAGCTCACTAGAACCAGGAAGCAAAACCCCTTCTTCCAGTGTTTCTCCATCACCCTGTATTGATAAGGTTCAACATCATGCCAGCTACCAAAGGAAAAGAGACTCAGATCCATTTTTGTAGAGTGGGCAAGGAGGTGTGATTCGGGGTTAAAAGGCAATAAATTGATAGCTGGAGCACTTATTCTTCAATTTTTCTGAAGCAAAGCATGGAGAATATTTATTAAACTTAAATTTATTGAATTTGGAGAGAGAGTCAGAGGAAGGTACTTTGTTCTCTTTCAGAAGGATTCTCCAAGTGTATGCTCAGAGGAATTCAAAAGACCATAGATTATATTTAGAAAGGGAAGATAACTGCATGAAATGTTCATAATTTCAGCCTTTGTGTGTTAATTCTTTATATTATAACAGAATTGTGCCAAATTGAGTATCAGTATGAGTGGTACCATATCTGCTTTATACATTCATAACAGACATTCATTTATACACCTTCCTAGAGGTATACTGAAATTAGAGCTGATATCAAGGGCAATACGTTTTGAATATGCACAGAGGAGCAAAGCAACAAGCTTAATATAGCTATATCCTCTCTTACATAAGCAATCTCAGGTGAATGGGTCCATTCAACAAATCAACTCTGATCCTGTTGGGTTATTTGGGAACCATGTTTCAAGTTATTGCTCTGCCATCTCCTAGGCCATTGTTGTCAGCTGGGTGGTTGATATTGGGTCATTGTTGAGTCCTTTGGGCTGGGGAAGGGAGAAATGGAGGTTTGCCCACTGTCTTAAGGCCTGGCCTAGGTGCAGCAAATTTCACTTCTGCTCACACACTACTGGTAAGAACAAAGTGAGACTGGTAAAGGCAATGCCCAGCTATGTTCTGTTTCTGTAAAAGAAGAGGTGAATAGATAACTGGTGGATGGCTTGCAGTCTGTACCATAGATGGATGGCTTGCCTTATTTGACAGTTGTTGAAAGTGTATGTTTTTCCTATAGATATAGAGGAATTGGTATCTGAGGACTATAAATTTAATAGAGATGCTCATAATAAATCAGAGGGAAAAACAAAAGGAAGCAGAGAGATTATTAAGTTTTTAGAGCTAATGTATAATAAGGACATGCATTCTGGAATATTTCTTCCTTTCATGCTTCACCCATAACAGACTTCAGTTTCTTCTTCTGATTACCCTACTCACTCTCCTGACTTCCTACATAGTGGATATGGATTCCCAAGGTTCAAACCCCATCTCTTACTTATTTAGCTGTTTGATCTTCAGCAATTTACATAACTTCTCTGTGCTTCTGTTGTCTCATCTGTGAAACTTGATTGATAATGATAGCTACGCATTAGGGTTTAGTGAAGATTAAATGAGCTATTTTGTGTAAAACACTTGGAAATAGTACCTGGTACATAATAAATGGTATATAATTGTTTTGCATATATTAAGTGTTCTAGAAGAATTTTCATTATTGTCATATGGACTCTTCCATTTCTTTGTTCATCCTGTCCAAACTTCATGATAACTGTTCTGGAGTCATTTTCACTTTTTTCTTTCTTTTTAGATGAGGATATTGGGCAAACTCAACAACAGATAATTTCTGGAGAAGTTTCATTCCACTGTGAGAAAATTGGTCAATCCATAGGAAAAGATTCATTGTGTTCCATTTTAGAAGAACTGTGGCAAGGTAATGACCAGCTAGAAAGAAATCAAGAAAACCAAAATAACCCTTTAAGTCATGTGAAAGTATTGACTAAGGAGAGGGACTATGAATTTAAAAACATTGAAAAAATAATTCATGTGAGTACCAGGCTTGTTCCTTCAATTAAAAGACTCCATAACTTTGATACATTTGGAAAAAGTTTGAAGCATACTTTAAATTTATATAATCACAATAAAAGCAATGCAACAAAGAACTTTGATAAGATTTTTGGAAATGGTAACAATTTTGCACATAGCTCTTCCTTTACTAAGAATGAGAATGCTAATACAGGAGCAAGCTCCTATGAACTTAATCGATGTGAAAAACATCTTGACCACAAACAAGTTCTCGCCCACCATCAGAAAATTCATACTGGAGAGAAACTTTATGTATGTACTGAATATGTGAAGACCTTTACCCAGGAGTCACATCTTTTTGAGCATCAGAGAATTCATGCTGGAGAAAAATCCCATGAATGCAATAAGGATGAGAATATCTTCACTCAGAAGCCACAAATTGAGGTACCTCAAAGTGTTTACACAAGAGAGAAACCTTTTATATGTATTCAATGTGGGAAGGCTTTTACCCTCAGGTCAAACCTCATTACACATCAGAAAATTCATACTGGACAGAAACCCTATAAATGCAGTGAATGTGGAAAAGCCTTTTTCCACAGATCATATCTCTTTAGACATATGAGAATTCATACAGGAGAAAAACCTTATGAATGCAATGAATGTGGAAGAGGATTTTCTCAGAATTCTGACCTCAGTATACATCAGAAAACTCATACTGGAGAGAAGCACTATGCATGCAGTGAATGCGGGAAAGCCTTTACAAGAAAATCAGCACTCAGGATGCATCAGAGAATTCACACAGGAGAAAAACCCTATATATGCACTGAATGTGGAAAGGCCTTCATCCAGAAATCCCATTTCAATACACATCAGAGAATTCATACTGGAGAAAAGCCTTATGAATGCAGTGACTGTGGAAAATCATTCATTAAGAAATCACAGCTCCATGTGCATCAAAGAATTCATACAGGAGAAAAACCCTATATATGCACAGAATGTGGAAAGGTCTTTACTCATAGGACAAATCTCACTACACATCAGAAAACTCATACTGGAGAAAAGCCATATATGTGTGCCGAATGTGGGAAGGCTTTCAGCGATCAGTCAAATCTCATTAAACACCAGAAAACTCATACTGGAGAGAAACCCTATAAATGCAATGGCTGCGGAAAGGCTTTCATATGGAAGTCACGCCTCAAAATACATCAGAAATCTCATATTGGAGAGAGACACTATGAATGCAATGAATGTGGAAAAGCCTTTATCCAGAAATCAACACTCAATGTGCATCAGAGAATCCATACAGGAGAAAAACCCTATGCTTGTCCTGAATGTGGGAAGGCCTTCATCCAAAAATCACACTTCATTGCACACCATAGAATTCATACTGGAGAGAAGCCTTATGAATGCAGTGACTGTGGGAAATGCTTCACAAAGAAGTCACAACTCCGAGTGCATCAAAAAATTCACACAGGAGAGAAACCCAACATATGTGCTGAATGTGGAAAGGCTTTCACTGACAGGTCGAATCTCATAACACACCAGAAAATCCATACTAGAGAGAAACCTTATAAATGTAGTGATTGTGGAAAAACCTTCACCTGGAAGTCACGCCTCTCTATCCATCAGAAATCTCATACTGGAGAGAGACACTTTGAATGCAGTAAATGTGGGAAAGCTTTCATCCAGAAAGCAACACTAAGTATGCATCAGATAATTCACACAAGAAAGAAAGCTTATGCTTGCACACAATGTCAGAAGGCCTTCACAGACAGATCAAATCTTATTACACATCAGAAAGCTCATAGTGAAGAAAAACTATAAATCCAGTGACTGAAAATACCTTCAGCTGGAAATCATAATGGAATGTGCATCAGCTGTCTCACAGTGGTGACAAGGAGTGCCTGATGCTGCAATCATTGCACAGGGGGAGTAGATATGACAGACTACAAATGGCTTAAGTGAACAGAAGGTCAACAGAGCCAAGTATTCTTCAGTCAGGTGGAATACAAGTTGATATGCAATTATATGTGTAGGGAGCCACTTTGGTAAAACATTTGAGCAATAGCCTTGGTTGGTTTCATGATTCATGCAGACACTCTCATTCTCCTGCACATGGTAGAAATAGAGACCCCAGGAGATGACTTGTAATCTCTTATGCTTCACTTTTTGGATAACGGGCTTTATAAATTCAGTACTGATTTGTTCTTCACACCCTAAAATGTAAAACTGCTCAATACTAACCAATTTTTTTTCAAATTTCTAGTGTGGGAAGAAGAGCATTCATTGTCCAAACACTTCTAAGGCATTGAAGTCAAGGCAAAAACCAATTTGGGGATATATTAATAGATCTATGAGTAGAAGCTGGAAGTTTTTTGATAATTGACATTTAAGACACGGAAAAGATTGCCCTGAGGAAGCACTCTTTTTCTTCCCTTTGAGACATCACCATATTTTTAAAATATGAAATAAAATTTTTAAATTTAATCTCTGACTTTATGCATTGGCAAATTAAGCATAGCTCTAGCCTATGTTACAGGAATGTAGTTATTAAATGTTACATATGCCTAAAGGTGGCAGTTGTTCCCTTATCAATTCCATGCCATGGCAGCAGGTGATTCACACTTGAAAGTAGTGAGCATACCTTCTAATCTGTACTCCCAAAGTTATCATTTAGGTAAGCTGCAGACCATAAACTTCTAATTCCCTTAGTAACTGAACCTAAGACAATGAAACTGAGCCACAGCACTCTGGACTTCCACTGAAGCTTCTGTTTTCTTTGGGATTCCTGTTTGAAAAACAACAGTTAAGAAATTGGGTTTCAATACATAAAATGGTGGGTTTTCTTCCAAGTTACTTAATTTTATATATTCATTTTATGTGCACATTGAGAGTAATTTTATGTGGATTGCTATGGGATAAAGTCATGTTGCATTAGTTATTTAGCCTAAGATATGATTATAATTATAGTTGAATAACTGGAAGACTTCTCTAAAAAGAGCACTGCTTTTTTTAAGCACTGATATGTAAACACTTTCTTGTTTTTAATTTAAAAAATTTACAATACTCAAAAGGGGCTTTCTTTCTAGCATGTAGTTTTATTTTGTTTTTAAACTTTTTAATTAAAGTATAATGCATACTGAAAATGCATATATCATAAGCATACAGTTCAATGAATTCTAACAAATTGAACACACTCAGATCAAGAAACAGAACATGACTAGCACCCCAGAAAAACTCCCTGTTCTCCCTTCCAGGTCTTATTGTCCACCTCCCCCACTAGGTAAGCACTATCTTGACTTAAATAGTTTTGTCTGCTTGGTATTTTGTATAAATTCATTCAGTAGTTATATTTCATATATTGGTAATGTACTCTTTAAGTATCTGTCTTCTTTCATTCACATTATAAATGTGAGATTTGTCCATATTGTTAAATGTAGTTGTAGATAGTTCATTCTTATTGTCATGTTAAATTACACTCTGTGAATATTCAACAATATATTTATCCATTCTATTGTTAACGGACATTTGTGTTGTTTGCAGCTTAGAGATATTGGAAATAGTGCTCGTATAAATATTTTAGTACCTATCTATTGGTGAACATATTTATGAACTCTGATAGGCATATATCTAGGAGTTGAACTGCCAGATTATATTGTATCCATATGCTCAGCTACTTTATGAAACTAGTTTTCCAAAGTGACTGCACCAATGTACACTCCCACCAGCATAGTATATGAGTTCTAGTTGCTCCTTGTCCATACTTGGTATTGTCCATCTTTTTTTTTAAACTATAGCCATTATGCTGGATGTATAGTGATATCTCAGTGTGGTTTAATTTTTATTTTCTTATCCTTCAACCCCACCATAGTATCTTGCCAAGACAGTTGCCTGATATCTCGGATCTGAAACTTATGCATGGTTTTCATGTGACTGTACCATTTTACATCTCACCAACAATAGTAAGCAATTAGTAACTTTAAATATCCCCACACAAAAATGCCCAAAGCTTGATGGTTTGACTGGTTGAGTGCATTAAACATTTGAGTAGAAATCTTTCAGAAAATAGAGGAGGAAGGAATACTCCCCAATTCTATGAGGCCAGGATTACCCTGATACTTAAGCCATACAAACGTATCACAAGAAAACTACAAGCAACATTTCTCATGAATATAGATGTAAAAATCTGCAACAAAATATTACCAAATTGAATCCAGCAACATATAAAAGGATTATACATCATGACCAAATGGGATTTATTTCAGTGATGCAAGACTGCTTGATTCAACATTCAAAAATCAGTCGATGCAATCTACCGTATTATATATGTAGGGTAAAAAAAAAAAAGAAAAATCACATAAAGCACCATAATCTACATATTGAATACAACTTTATCAAATTTCCAGCAGGCTTTCTTCCCCAGAAATTGATTAGCTAATACTAAAGTTTATATAGAAATATAAAAGACCAAAAATAGCAAATAAGAATTTGCCAAAAAGCAAAATAGAAGGACAGTAACTTCCCAATTTCTTGATTACGGTAATCAAGACAGTATAGTGCTAGTTTAGGGAGAGAGAGAGAGAGATCAATGGAATAGAAAAGAATCCAGGAATAAACTCTGATACTTACGGTAAACATAGTTTTTTACAAAAATGTGAAGGCAATTCATTGGGAAAAGAAAAGTTTTTTCAACATTTGGTGCAGGAATGATTACATATCCATATGCAAAAAGATGAATCTAAATCTTCACATCATACTAAAAATGTATCAGAGATGGAAATAAAAAAGCTAAAACTACAAAAGGTTTAGCAGAAAACACGAGAAAAATCTCTGTGATCTTGTATTAGGCAAGGAATTCTTAAATACAACACCAAGAGCATGATCCATAAAGAAAAAAATGATAAATTAGACTTCATCAAAACTAAAAAGGTTCAAACTTCAAAAGATACCATTAAGAAAATGAAAAGACAAAGCACAGACTAGGAGCAAACATTTATCTGATAAAGAACTTGTATCTGGAATATATAAAGAACTCTTACAACTCAATAAAAAGAAGACACGCAACCCAGTTTACAATCAGGCAGAAGATTTGAAGAGATAGTTTACCAAATACAGGTAAACTATATTTGGAAGCTACCAGCTTCCCTGGTAGCTCATCTGGTAAAGAATCTGTCTGCAATGCCGGAGACCCTGGTTCAATTCTTGGGTTAGGAAGATCCCCCTGGAGAAGGGATAGGCTAGCCACTCCAGTATTCTTGGGCTTTCCTGGTGGTTCAGATGGTAAAGAATCCGCCTGCAATACAGGAGACCTGGGTTCAGTCCCTGGGTTGGGAAGATCCCCTGGAAGAGGGCATAGCAACCCACTCCAATATTCTTGCCTGGAGAATCCCCATGGACAGAGGAGCCTGTCAGGTTACAGTCCATAGGGTCACAAAGAGTCAGACAAGACTGAGCAACTAAGCACAGCACAGCATATATATATATATATATATATATAGTGTGTGTGTGTGTATACACATATATATATATATATATATACATACACACATGAATAAACATGTGACGAGATGCCCAACATCATTAGGCATTAGAGAAATTCTAACTAAAACCACAAGCTTCCCTAGTGGCTTCAGTGGTAAAGAATCTGCCTGCCAATGTAAGAGATGTGAATTCAATCCCTAGGTCAGGAAGATCCCCTGAAGAAACAAATGGCAACCCATTCCAATATTGTTGCCTGGAAAATCCCATGGACAGAGGAGCCTGGTGGGCTAGTCCATAGGGTCACAAAAGAGTCAGACATGACTTAGTGACTAAACAACAGCAACTAAAACCACAATGAAATACCACTTTATATGTACTAAAATGGCTATAAAGAAAAGACAGTTATAACAAATGTTGGCACAGATAGGGGAAATCAGGAACTTTCCTACATTTCTGGTGTGACTGTATTAAAATGACTTAGCCATTTTGGAAAAGTTTGGCAGTTTCTTAAAAAGTTGATCATAAATTTACCAGAGGGCCCAGTGCTGCCACTTCTATAATCTACCCAAAAGATAATATAACATGTGTTCATACAAACACTTGCACTTGAATATTAATAACAGCATTATTCACACAAGACAGAAAAGTAGAAACAATCTAAATATCCATCAACTTACAAGTAGACAAAATATGGTATATTCAGCAATAAAAAAACAAATACTGCAATATGGATGAACTTAAAAAATATGCTTAGTGAAAGAAGTGCAATGCAAAACATATAGTATTATATTTGAATATTGCATTTATATGAAATGCCCACGAAAGTGAAATCTATAAAGCTCTGTAGATCAGTGGTTGTCTGGAAGATCCTCTGGAGAAGGAAATAGCAACCTACTCCAGTATTCTTGCCTAGAAAATTCCATAGATAGAGGAGTCCATGTGGTCACAAATAGGATACGACTGAGCTAGTGACCATAGGGATAAGAATGGGAATCATCACTAACTGTTAATTAGTAAGAGGAATCTTATTGGGGAGATAAAAATGTTACAGAACTTGACTGTGGTGATGGTTGCACAACTAGGTAAGTTTAATGAAGGTCATTGAAGTGATCCTCAATTCCACTCCTGTTTAAGCATCTGGGTTCCCTGCCATGACATCTATTGCCACCCATATCTAGAATGAAGTGTTGTCTTGGAGCCTGTTGTACATTTAAAAATAAACTTTTTAAAAAAGGTCATTGAACTGTACAATTTAAATATGGAACCTAAATTATACCTCAATAAAGTTGTTTCTTTTTCAGAGTTGTTTTGGCTCTCTAGGTCCTTAACATTTCCTTATAAAC